AATAATAATAATAATAATAATAATAATAATAATAATAATAATAATAATAACAATAACAACAACAATAAATAATAATAATAATAATAATAATAATAATAATAATAATAATAATAATAATAATAATAGGAAATTCTGAATTTATCAGACTTGAATATCCTGACTCTACAAAAAAACCACCCTACTTGGAACAGCTTATATCCTCTGATGCTACCTGAACAGTTCCTAGGACCTTGGTTAGGACTCCAGCTGTTGAGCTACCAACCAGCCCCAAAGGCTGTGAATCTCACTAAAGATTAAATAATAACAATAACAACAACAATAATAATAATAATAATATAGCTGCCTTCCCCTCCTAAATTTAATGGAATCAGGAAGATTCTCTTACCTGTAGCTGGCACTCGATACCTCGATAAGAGTAGTCCAGGGTAAAAGTGATAATGTGCAATTCTTCGGTGACAGGCAACGATCCCTATCGCCCAAACCCCAAGAGAAAATGAACAACGGCTGATCAGAGCTCCTGAGACTATTGTATGCCATGCTTTCAGGTTTTACTGCAGCACTATCTTACAAGAGCCTCCTTTGAAAGAAATATGTTCTCTTTAGCGGGTGACATGTTGGTTTTCTTTATATATTCAAAGAACGAAAGAAAGAAATTGGTACAGGGATTCCTCATCTTACAATGGCAATTAGGAGCAGAACTTCCACCTCCAAGCATAAGCGATCATAAAGGGCAACTACATTGCTTAGCAACGGCAATCCCTGATTGCTGTCCTATTGTTAGGTAAGGCGGTGTCTTGCTGGTTTCCCACAACCAAAGTAAGCGGGGAAGTTAGTTAAGAAGTTCTGTGTCCCAGGCCTGCAGGTAGGTAAATGGCTGCTGCAGGGTGGGGGGGAGGAAGTGAGGTGGCGTGCAAGCGTTGCTGCATGGGTTGGGGAGGATGTGCGAGGCGTCGGTTGGCTGCCCAAGGAGATGTGCGAGGCTCAGAGGCGGTGCTCAAGAGGATGAATGGATGCGCAAGAGACACAGGTTAGGAAGGGTCAGTGAAAGACCAGGCTGGGGATGGTAAGCAACTGTGGGAGGCACAGTTCAGGAAGGGTGTGCGACTGACTAGTGCGAACACAGAAATGATAGGGGTGGTGGGTTGGATGTGCTTATCCCAGTGACTTGTAACTTTCCCTACTAATTTCTCCACTGACTTTCTAGGGAGAAGCCGGAAGAGAAAGCTGCAAATGGTGAACATGGGATCATAGGGTGCTTGATAACTAATTTTAAGTGTGAATGGGTTGCCAAGCACCCAGATCATGATCATGTGATCATGGGGGTACTGAGATAGCCAGAACACTGAGGACTGATAGTAACCACCGTTCCTTCCACACCTTGGTAACTTGGAACAGTTGCTGACCGAATGGCCATACTGTAAATCAACCTAAATACACAAATGTATTGTGTAACCTAAATACACAAAATAGACATCGCCTATTCCAGAACCCCTGCAGTAATAGCAAATAAAATCTCCTGCAGCAAATCAGAACCCTGCTGAAACAACAAAAGAAGCTGGGATAGATTTGGTTTATATTTGGATAAGGGATGCCCAGGGCTTAGGATACATTGGGAAATTGAAGATCAACCTGGAAGAAGGCAATGCCTCTTCCGAGAAAACTGCATGAACAGTTTTCATGTTCATGAAAAATCCATGAGGACATCAGAAGTAGAGCCTGACTTGAAGGAAACTTCACTTTAGTGAGAAAAAAATTATACACACATATAAGTAAACAGAAGCGTAAGCAATGGGGGCCAAAGATCAGGGAAGTAATGTAATTTGCAATTAATCCTCATTTTTAATTTGAGACATATTTCCCAATTTTAAAACATGTTCTACCACCCTAAGCAGCACATTCTTAACATTTGCTGGGAATGAGATAATACAGCCTCCAGGTATTGATTATTAAGTCCAAACCTGTGGCCAGGTCCACAACTAATATAGGGCATCTTTACACTAAACAATCACCTCTTATTTAACTGAAATCTCACCTCACTAATCCCTTTGTTGCCTTTCCCTGTACCAGAGATTTTCTGTTCTTTCAGTGTCTTCATCAGAGAGAGGAGAGGATAGGGGAGGAGAAGAGAAGAACGTTTATTAATAAGGTTGAAAGGGAACAAATATCAGATGAGATCAAACCAAATCATTGTATTGCTGAAAGTCTTTTCAAACCTATTGCCTTCCAAATACATCACATCAGCAGGTTATCTTTTCAAAGAAACACTTATCATCCTATTCAGTTGTACAAACAAAACAGCCTATTACAAAACAAACCTAGCTTTTATGATTGTGACCCCTTAGAAAATAGTTCTGAAAAAAATATTGGATATCTTATGCAAGGACAGCACCTCTCTGTTGTTCATTAAAGCATGCTGATCTTTTTAGTCTTCCATGAAAGCTTGAAAAAAAAACATGCAACTGCTTTAAAATAAATGAATGATTGATGCTGGACAACTTTTGAAGTAATGGGATCTTTCTTACAGATCAACATAAATGTCTGGAAAAAGATGTCTGTACTTTAATGAATAGCAGAAAGCTGATATGAGATCAGAAGCATGTCTTCCAAATAATGTTTTTCATCAATTTCAGCTTTTCCTCAATTTCTTCTCTTGTATATCAAATGTTCAAGTTGGTTTTAAAAGATTTTGAAAGATTATATACCGCTTCACAGTGCTTTACAGCCCTTTTTTAAGCAGTTTACAGAGTCAGCATATTGCCCCCCAACAATCTGGGTCCTCATTTTACCAACCTTGGAAGGATGGAAGGCTGAGTCAACCTTTGGCAGTTCAAGCCAAATTGCAACAGCCTGCAGTACTGCACTCTAACCACTGTGCCACTGCGGCTCATGTTGTATTTCCAGTTCTCCCTTCTAACATTTAAACAGATGCTCTTGCTCCAACTATCCTTTCTCCTTCCCATGTATCTAAAGGTTCAAATCATCAGCCAATATTCCCATACAATGTATTTAAAATCACAAACGAGTCCTTGCTTTTGGGGATCGTGAATCATCAAGGTTTTGGTGCTGGATGTCAAAATATTGAACCTCCGGAACCTTCAGAATGAAAAACAGAGTGAGAAGGATCAGTCACAACACATGCAATTTCCTGGTGGCCAGAGATAAGATATTTTTATATTTATATAAAACACAATCATGGTATCTTCCCCTACCAGGCAAGTATGTATTTAGAGATAGTGCCTTGGCTTAATACATTCATAATAAAACTTTTTGAACAGCTGGCAAATTTGGAATTATGAAAATAGGTTGTGAATGCTCTCCCAACATGGTTGTAATGACCATTCACAAAACAGCTGCCATGGTGAATATGTGACTGTGTCACAAACACTAATTTTCCAGGCAGCAAACTGGGGAGGCTCTTCACCATTCCAAGGAACCTTTCTTCCTCTTGTCTGGGCACACTTTCAAACAAAACACTGAACTATAAATGCCCATCTTTTTATGTGCAAAAACTGCCCACAGAGTTTATGAAGGAACTAGGGACAGTCTTGGGCACCACAAGTGCCCCGGAGGCTGTCTGTCTGGTTTCTAACGACATCTCATTTAGCACTGTGCAATTTTTAAAATATCCAATAAAGAAATCGGACTAAGAACTTGATGGGAACTAAGATGAGTTTCTAGATAAGAGCTTATCTACTTCTGGCTTACTCAAATTATAGGGCAGGCACACTACTGCCTTCTCCAAAAATCTCCCCTCTGTATCTACTGCAGTTTTCCAGTCTCTTGTTTCCTTTCGATTCCGCTAGGTGGGTGATTTTGGAGGTGGACCTGAGGGCTGAAGGAAGTTCTTCAAAGCTCACATCTATCAATAACCCATTTATCTCTTTCTAAGAAGGTAGCTGAAGGGCCCCACCTACCTCCTCCATTAACCAGATAAATAAAGCTTTACAATCTCCAAATTAAGAATCATGGCCCACTACCCTCCCAGACAGGAAAGGCTCATTATTCCCCATTGCTTTTAGTCAGCGATTTCTTACCCGGTCAAATCTGTAGCATCCCTGAAAAAGGTAAGAACAAGGAATCAATGGGTGATCCCCCAGGTCTAGTCCCTTCCCACCACAATGCTACAAGCTCCATTAGTAAGTTAAGATCTACAAAGCCTAGAGCAAGGGTCACCAACCCAGCTTGCACGGGCCACATATAAATCACAAAATAAAGCTAAAAGTTTACAAACTTGTGGGGCTGCATTACTAACTGTCCAGGGCCGTATGAGGCCCATGGGCCACAGGTTGGACACACCTGGTCTAGAAGTTTATTTTAAAAATACTTGTTATTAAAGAGTTTTAATAGCACAAACAGAAATTTGGAAAAAAAGAATAGAAAGAAACGAAATACAAAGTGTAAAAAAAAAAAAGCCAAAAAAAAGAGAAAAAATAATATTTAAAAAAGCAACACCAGATCTTTCTTGCAACAAGTACAAATTAGCATTTTCCCATTTCTCTGGTGTTTGTTAAATGTATATGCCACCCAGTTCTCCAAAAAGGCAACTCTGGGCAGCTTATATTACACACATAGCTCATTTTTTTCCCCATAACCTCACCCTCCCCACCCCTTGGATCTTTTCACAAATCCAAAAATTGTTGTCATTTCTGACCAAGTATGGCAAAAAAATTCATTTAGGGTTTGTAGGATTTTATAAAAAATATTTCTCATTTTAACTCTGGCCAAACAAATCATTTTTATAAAAGCTAGACTTGCAGTAGAATAACATACCGGTCAATGTCAATCTTCACCTCCGGGGATTTGTTTCGATCCAGCAGTTTTACTAGTAGTCTGAATCATGGAAAGAGCAACCAATTAAAATCCATATGGTTAAAAAAAAGGGGGGTGGGTGGGTAGGGGCTGGAAGTATTTATATTTTCAAAATGAATTGCTTTCCTACTAGTCAAAAGTGTTTCTGAAATATCCTGTTTATTAATACTGTCTTTAAGGTGTTTTTGCATATTTGTCCCAAGTAATCAAATAATAAAGCAGTCTTAGCTCAAGTGGGAAACTACTCTTTTCCTTGATCTTGGCACTAAGGTTTATGGAGCAGAGCAAATTCATTCTGTTTTACCATCTAAATCTGCAATTAGATTGTCTCAATCAAAAAATTGTGATCGTAAGAGCATTTGAGAGCTAGAAATGGTAATTGTTCTTCAAAAAAATTGTTGCTATTTAGTGTTGTTTTTTTTAATATTTAAGAAGAGGAAGTTACTATTTTTCAGTTTCCAGTTAAAACTTCTAATATTAAATGCAATCCTTATCCATTCCAAGGTTGACTTGGCCTTCCATCCTTCCGGGGTGGGTAAAATGAGAATCTAAAATTGTTGGGGGCAATATGCTGACTCTGTAAACTGCTTAGAGAGGGCTGTAAAGCGATGTATAAGTCTAAGTGCTATTGCTATTCCCACCACAGATATTTGGAAGCTTCAACTGGTTCAAAATCCAGCACACAGGCAGTTAGTTATGCATACCATACAATTTGAACATCTTTTGTCCATGAGCTGCAAAGGCTGCCAGTTTGCTTCCGGGTTAAATTCAAGGTGCTAGTAATGACCTAAAAAGCAGCAGTGGGATCCTACCTATTCCACTACTGATTCGGTGATTGGGCACGTGCACAGCTTTTCACATACCAGCTGAGGCCTGCAGCACCAATCAGCTGAGAGGATAAAGAAAAGCACAGGGACAGGTGGGAGGGCCTATCCTGCACTTTTCTTTTCTTTCTCCTCTCAGCTGATGTAGGCAGCTTTTTTTCCTTCTCTCAGCTAATCGTAGGAGCTTTTTTTTACTACCAGTTCAGCCCAACCGGTCCAAACCGGTAGCACACCACCGCTGCTATAAAGCCTATATGACATGGGACTAGTTTATTTGAAACTACCTCTCCCAAGTTACATCTACCCACCCCATCAGATCCAACCGGAGACACACATTGTGAGTCTGGTCCAAGAAGGATTGCCACCTGATGAGGCCTGGGAAAACGTCCTTTTCTGTCCTGGGGCCTGCCCCTTAGAACATCCTGCACCTGAAGACTACTGTGTTTCTCATAAAATAAGGCCGGGTCTTATATATTTTGGAGCCCTGAAAAAACGGCTAGGCCGTCTTTTCGGGGGTGACTTAATTCCCCCCCCGTTGCATCCTCATTTAGAGTGCCCCGTGGGCAGCCTCGCCACCAGCCGCTCCTAACGGGTGATCATGGCGAAGCGCAGAGAGCTCCCTACTCCCACCAAACACCTTTGCTGCAGACCTAAGACCTTTGGCACCCGCCGCTGTTGCTTTCCCTTCTGCCCATTCCGCCGCCACGTTTGGAGCTGCCGCTTCTGTGTTTGGAGTGCCGCTGCCATTTGGAGTGCCACCGCCATTTGGAGCACCACCGCCACGTTTGGAGCTGCCGCTTCCGTGTTTGGAGTGCTGCTGCCATTTGGAGTGCTGCCGCCATTTGGAGCACTGCCGTCATGTTTGGAGCTGCCACTTCCGCGTTTGGAGCTGCCGCCATGTTTGGAGTGGCGGCGGCGCTCCAAATGGCGGCAGTGCTCCAAACAGCGGTAGTGCTCCAAACGCGGAAGTGGCAGCTCCAAATGCGGACATGGCAACTCCAAAGAGCGGTGGGGTTCCAAACACGGAAGCGGCAGCTCCAAACGCGGCAGCGGCAGCTCCAAACGTGGCAGCTCCAAACAGCAGCAGTGCTCCAAACAGCAGCAGCGCTCCAAACGTGGAAGCGGCAGCTCCAAACGCTGCAGCGGCAGCTCCAAATGCAGAAGCGGCAGCTCCAAACGGCAGCGGTGCTCCAAACGTGGAAGTGGCAGCTCCAAACGCGGCGGCGGCATGGGCAGAAGGGAAATCAACAGCGGCGGACGCTGAAGGTCTTGGGTCTGCCGCAAAGGTGCTTGGCAGGAGTAGGAGCTCTCCGCGCTCTGCCATGATTGCGATTGTGATTGTTAGATACAATTACCTCAGCTATGCGTTTTAGGAATTTACTATATGAGGATGTTTTATGTGCTTTTATATTGTTTATATTTTTTTAAGTTGTTATACTGTCTTTTTTAATTTGTTGTAATTATAAGCTACCCAGACTCATCTTTATGAGACTGGCAGTTATATAGATCTGAATCATAAATACATGCTAAATAACCTAGCCCTGTTCTGAGAGAAAGCTACTTTTTCTGAATAGAGATGAACTAGCTCCCATGTACAGTGATTCTTTAAGAGGATAATAACAATAATGATAACACCAATACTATAAATGTCTGGGACCCACATCATTTGATCTGGCCCCTTCTAAAATTTTCAGTTTCCTGCCCAAAATAGTCTCCAGTGTCAGAGTGTGCACAGTGCGATGATGTGAGACAACCCAGGAGTAAATATAATAAACAGAGGTTTGTATTTTAAATACTGGTTTATCTACAAAGAATATATACATACACGTACTTTAGTCAGACCTCAAACAGTAATCAGCAATTACAGCACAGAAACATACACTGAGAGAGAGATACACCCCAACAGGGCCTCTTCTTATTACAGGCTCTTAAAGTGATATCAGCCCAAAAAACTTGCTGACTCATTCCTAGTATTATTTCATCATAGCAGCTGGTCATCTCTTAAATCATTACCCTGATATCCAGGAATGGCCACTGTTGGAGTAAGGATTTTCTCACCTGGCCCGGACGGAGAACTTGTGGCTGGTTCTCAGCACCAGTGGGCGTTTATTGGGAACTTGCATCTTAGGTTGTACCTCCACTACAAAAGCACTGGCAAGAGCAGAGCAATGTTAGTCTTCTACAGCTCATCTGTTATTTTGCCCACCACCCTGTTTAACATTTCCTTATTGGCAGAATCCTTCCCCTCCCTTGTCACCTTTTCAAGAGGCAGATTATTTGCTCCTGAAGCCGTTTGACCAGAAGGGGCAACTGGTCCTTGAGGGGATCTGTGTGGTAAGTCACCTTATCGTACATCCCTTTCAGCATCATTAATAGGTGCAGCAATTGGAAGAGGATCTCAGCGTTCTTAGTAAACCTGCAATTCAGGAGGAAGATCAGTGGAAAACAGGACTGTCCATGAACAAGCTGTGAACAGGGGTGCAGAGATCTGCAAGAGTCAAAACAACAACAACCCCTAACTAGAAGCCCTGAACAGGGAAGCCTGAAATTAAATAGACTGCAATTGCTTTCAACGGCTTCGATAGGGAATTCAGGGAAGGAAGTGAATCGTAGCCCATTTTATGACTTGTTGCCACAGTTGCTAAGTGAAGACAGTCACCGAACGAATAGTAGTAAGCTGAAGACTTAAAACTCAAGGCCTGTGGGCTGGATCAGGCCCACAGGGTGCTTAAATCTGGCCTGCGGGACTGGCCTGGAAACAGCAAACGACCAGCCCACAGTGCCTCTGGCAGCCAAAATGGAGTGCCCGTTTTTGGCCTGGACAGTCTCCTGGAGCACTTTGCTGGCCTAAACGGGGTGCGGGGAGGCACGTGCAACCCTCCCCCCGTGGCCCATCTTAGCCTGCAGGTTGCTGTTTTGGCCCACAAGGAGTCTGTCCCGTCTCCCACAACTACCAATCTGGCCTGCGGAGAACTGCAATGCTGCTGTAGTGCATTTCTTTAAAGGGATCATTGTACAGAAATGTCTCATTAAAAACAAGGAACTGGTCCATATGGATCATTGCCATTATTACCACTTACCATTCTTCCAGACGCCCTAAGCTGGTATCATATTTCTCTCCAATGCAAACTAACCGCTGACGAACTTGCCATTGCAATACCTCCTCCAGAAGCAAATCTCTTAGAGTAGCAGAGCGTCCCAGAAGCTCATGGATTTGGCTCAGCATCTCCTGATTAAAAAACACACACAAGCCAAATGTGTTATTTAATTTATTTTATTTTATTCATCATTTTTTAAAACAATTTACCTCCCTCACAGAGCAACTCTGGGCAGTGCACAGGTAGAATACGAAAATGTGAAAATAGTACAGAAAAAAAGGCAATTATGAATTAAGATGTTATCATAAATAATTTTATTATCAATAGTTAACAGATAGTCAGCAACTTACAACTGAAACTAAGCCTGATGTTACAGGTTCTGTTACACATGCCCAGGTCAGTAGGCTCCAAAACCCCCAAGAGCTAACACAAGCACACCTGGAGCACCTGAGGCAACACACACTCAAGCACTCAAAGGCTAATAATAATACTCACTCAAGCACTACCACTCTTCCCCAATTCTACTATAAACTCTTGTTCCTCCACTACTTCTCTTTGTGTTCTACTTCTGAAGAACTATAACTGTAACTATTTCCCTTAGGCTTCTTCAGGCTGTTTTAGTTTCCCAAACATATACAAGCCATCTTCTCTCACACGCCTTATATCAACACCATAACATCCAGCTGCCTCTCTGCTCAGCTTTTATACCACATATTACAGGTAGTCCTCAACTTACAACAGTTCCTTTAGTGACCATTCAAGGTTACAACGGCATTGAAAAAAGTGAGTTATGACCGTTTTCCACAGGTATGATTTTGAAGTTTCATGTGATTAAAATTCAGACCCTTGGCTAATGACTCATATTACAAATAAAGATTAACAGAGTTGGAAGGGACCTTGTAGGTCATCTAGTCCAACTCCCTGCCCAAGCAAAAGACCCTATACCATTTCTGACAAATAGCAGTCATATTTATGATGGTTGCAATGTCCTGGGGTCCCCTTTTGTGACCTTCTGACAAAGTCAGTTGGGAAGCCAGATTCACTTAACAACCAGATTACTAACTCATCAACTACAGCAATTCACTTAACAACTGTGGCAAGAAAGGTCATAAAATGAGGCAAAACTCACTTTAAAAATGCCTCACTTAGCAACAGAAATGTTGGACTCAATTGTGGTCGTAGGTTGAGGACTACCTGTACTGGGTTGGTTAGGGAGAAGCCTTAAAAGAGAAAAGGACACCAGCAGCCCAGGTGCCGGCCATTTTGCAAATTACAGTTGTAAGTCGTGACAATCATAAAATGGGTGACAGGACCAGATTTGATTTTATGATCCTTTTTTGCAGTAGTTGTTAAGCAAAGGCCACGGTCCTTAAGCAAAACTATTGGGGCAGAACTAAATGACAGAACTAAATGACAGTCTCCAGAAAAACTGCTATAAATCACAGTCATGTGTCCTCCGGGCACTGCAAACTGGGCTGGTTGCTGAGCAACCAAAATGCAGTCATGTGACTGTGTGGGACAGGCGAGGGTGACATTGGAAAACCGAGTTGTAAGTAGCTTTGGGGGGGAGGGGAGCTGTCATAACTTTGAATAATAGTTAAGTCAAGGACTACCTGTGTATTTCCATGTATGGTTTTTGTAAAAAGGAAAAATGGAGTTGCATCTTTTAAGACACACCATATATTTTTGCATTAGTAAGTTCAAATCCTCTGCTTTTGCAGCATTTGAAATTAACTAACGTCATTAAAAAAAAAACTACGAAAGGATGGGGGGGGGGGGGGGG